GTCCGGTGTGCCCTCGCTGGGCGCCCTGGAGGCCTGCGCTGCGACGTCCAGTGCGCCGCTCCTCAATGAGCTGCTTGCCGGGTTCAAGGACGTCTTCGCCGAACCATGGGGTCTGCCCCCCAAGCGCGCTCGCGATCACCCCGTCGTCCTCAAGCCAGGAGCGCAACCGGTCGCGGTCCGACCCTACCGGTACCCGACGGCACACAAGGATGAGCTGGAACGCCAGTGCACCACTATGATCGAGCAGGGCATCGTCCGCCATAGCAACTCGGCTTTCTCCTCGCCGGTCATCCTCGTCAAGAAGGCGGATGGCGCGTGGCGCTTTTGCGTCGACTACCGTGCGCTGAACGTGCTCACCGTCAAGGATGCGTTTCCGATCCCCATCGTCGACGAGCTGCTCGACGAGCTCCACGGCGCCCGCTTCTTCACCAAGCTTGACTTGAGGTCGGGGTACCACCAGGTCCGCATGCGGCCCTCCGACATCCACAAGACGGCGTTCCGCACTCACGACGGCCTCTACGAGTTCCTGGTGATGCCGTTCGGCCTGTGCAACGCCCCGACAACCTTCCAGGCACTCATGAACGACGTCCTCCGGCCGTTCCTGCGTCGCTTCGTCCTGGTATTTTTTTATGACATTCTTATCTACAGCCGCACGTGGGCGGATCATCTCCGACACCTCCGCGCCGTGCTCTCAGAGCTTCGTCGCCACCAGCTCTTCATCAAGCGCAGCAAGTGTGCCTTTGGCGAGGCCACTGTCTCCTACCTCGGGCACATCATCTCCGAGACGGGGGTCGCCATGGATCCAGCCAAGGTGCAGGCCATCCTCGACTGGCCGGTGCCACGCTCGGCTCGGGCGGTACGCGGCTTCCTCGGCTTGGCGGGGTACTACCGCAAATTCGTACACAACTATGGCACCATCGCCGCCCCGCTGATAGCCCTCCTCAAGAAAGAAGGGTTCTCCTAGAACGACGCCGCGGCGGCTGCATTCACCGCACTCAAGGCCGTGGTCACCTCAGCGCCCATCCTCTCCATGTCGGACTTCACCAAACCGTTCACCGTCGAGTGTGATGCTTCCTCCCACGGCTTCGGTGCAGTCCTCATCCAGGAGGGGCACCCGATTGCCTTCTTCAGCAGGCCGGTCGCGCCACGCCATCGCGCCCTCGCCGCCTACGAGCGGGAGCTCATCGGCCTCGTCCACGCCGTGCAGCACTGGAGGTCGTACCTGTGGGGGCGCCGCTTTCTCATGAAGACGGATCATTATAGCCTCAAATATCTGTTGGATCAGCGGCTTACGACGATTCCCCAACACCATTTAGTAGGGAAACTACTCGGATTCGACTTCTCGGTGGAGTATAAACCGAGTGCGGCCAACGCCATGGCGGACGCCTTGTCCCGCCGCGACACGGAGGATCGGGCCATCCTCGCCCTATCGGCTCCTCGGTTCGACTTCGTCACGCGCCTTCATCACGCCTAGGACGCTGACTCCAGCCTCGTCGCGCTCCGCGAGGAGATCGCTAGGGGAACCCAAGGCGCGCCATGGTCCTTGGCCGATGGCATGGTGTAGTTCAATGGCCGGCTCTACACCCCGCCGGCGTCGCCCCTCATCCAGGAGATCATGCTGGCCGTGCATGAGGATGGGCATGAGGGCGTCCAGCGCACGATGCATCGGCTGCGTCGCGACTTCCATTTTCCTAACATGAAGTAGTTGGTGCAGGAGCTGGTTCGTGTGTGCCTCGTGTGCCAAAGGTACAAGTCCGAGCGCCTACATCCTGCCGGGCTGCTGCTCCCTCTACCTGTGCCGCAGGGGGTCTGGACCGACATTGCGCTGGATTTTGTCGAGGCGCTGCCCCGTGTCCGCGGCAAGTCAGTCATCCTCACGGTGGTGGACCGGTTCAGCAAGTACTGCCACTTCATCCCGTTGGCGCATCCATACTCCGCCGAGTTCGTCACCTAGGCCTTCTTCACCGACATCGTACGACTCCACGGGGTACCACAGTCGATGGTGTCGGACCACGACCCCGTCTTCACTTCGACGTTCTGGCACGAGCTCATGCGCTTGTTGGGCACCAAGCTCCACATGACCACCGCCTTCCATCCACAGTCGGACGGCCAATCGGAAGTGGCTAACCAGGTCATCATCATGTACTTGAGGTGTCTTACAGGTGACCGGCCGCGTCAGTGGTTGCGCTGGCTTCCATGGGCGGAATTCATCTTCAACACCGCCAACCAGTCGTCCCTGCGCGACACACCGTTCCGTGTCGTCTATGGCTGGGACCCGCCGTCCATTCGGTCGTACGAGCCAGGCGAGTCGAGGGTGCCTGCTGTCGCCCGCAGCATGGAGGAACGCGCGGAGTTCCTCGACGACATCAGGTACCGGCTGGAACAGGCGCAGGCTCTTCAGAAACGCCACTACGACGCTGGCCATCGGCCGGTCACGTACCAGGTGGGCGACTGGGCCCTTCTCCGGCTTCAGCATCGCGCAGCAGCGTCTCTTCCTCAGGCTTCTACGGGAAAGCTCCGACCTCGCTACTACGGCCCCTACCACGTCATCGAGTTGATCAACGAGGTCACGGTTCGCCTCGCTCTTCCTCCCGGCGCCCGTCTTCACGACGTGTTCCATGTGGGCGTCCTCAAGAAGTTCAAAGGGCCTCCGCCGGACGCTCCACCGCCCTTGCCGCCCGTGCACCATGGCGCGGTTGCTCCTGAGCCGGAACGTGCGGTGCGCTATCGGCTCGCCCGTGGCGCCCCTCAGGTGTTGATCCAGTGGAAAGGAGAGTCAGCGGCGTCCTCAACTTGGGAAGACGTCGAGACGTTCAGCGCCAAGCATCCCACGTTTCAGCTCGAGGACGAGCTGAGTCTCGACGGGGAGGGAGATGTCATGTGGGGACGCACCTACACTCGACGTAGGAGGGCCCGCGACATCCGCCGCGCAGCAGAACGCGCTGAGCGCGCGGCAGGAGCGGCCAGGGAGGCGCACGGCGCTCCAACCACCAGTGGCTAGGAAAGAAAGATAGGATAGTTTCCCTCTTTTCAGTTCCACAATTTTAAGAATAATTAGCTCTAGTTGGTTTGGGCCTTAGGCCATATATTCTTGTAATCGGGCACTAATGAAAAAAAGAAGTTATTCCCTAATTCCTCTCTCTCTTCTCCAACCAACTAAGCCAACGGCTGAGGAGTAAAACCTCGCCGGCGACGACGGAACGAGGCTAAGAACTCCATAGCCACGGTCCAGCTGCCTTGGGCGCCGACGCCCTTGACAGAAAAGCCCGGGGAAGAAGCAGAGCGCGAGGTAGACGGACAGGTCACAAACGCGTGACCCATCGCCCGTTGTCTGTAGCCTTTCACTATGCTCATAGGAAAACCGTCCGGCACGCACTGCTCGGTAGTCGATAGGCTGGTGGTGTCATTTGTCAAGCACGAGCAAGGACAGCGCGGCCGGTGTATCACCTCCATCACTCCTTCAGCATCGATGTCGGCCTTTTATCAGGGAACAAGTGGCGTTTTCACTTTTCAGTAACTTATCATCGGTGTCCACGGCTAAGAAGGATCAATTTGAGGTTGTAAGGGTAGCAGTGGCCATAATAATCCGTATACGCCGGCCTGAGCTTGACCGCTACTGTGTCAGCGCCCGGGCGAACGGCGGATGTAGATGAATCGCATGACCACTTGGGCAGGCTGCTGCCCGGTGGCCGCATCGGCAACCAACCGTGTAAAACGCCAAACGGCGCACGAGGGCAACAGGACCGGGGCCGGCGCGCATGGCAGACGAGACACGAGGCTAGTACCCCGTACGCCTTGTCATCGGCGGCAGGTGACTCGGGGACCATCTCCCAACGATCACACGTACGTACAGTACATGCTGTACGTGGATCAGTCCCAGCTGGCAGCTGCTCATGGTTCCTACACATACGACGATGGCCTCTCACAAGTCACAACCAGGCCAGCGCCCAGCGCCAGGGCCAACACACACGACCGACCGGGCGGCCGGCGCATGTTTCGCCGCGCCCCCACGCGCTTGCGACAGACAGAGCCATAGGATTCACAGTGCAAGTCTCGAGTGTACCTGCGACTGCCACGCGGTCAGTAATAGAAGATGGCGCACTGGCAGGCTACCTCATTGCTCTGTTCCCCACTCTGCCTCCTCGGCTCCTCCCTCCCGAGTTCGTCAACCGACGCATGCCTTCGCCGACGCTGTCATGCTGACGCTTCCCTCGACGAAGTGGCTTTTCTCGGTGGCGTAGTGGAGACTGGAGTGCTACCCGGCATGCGCTGCACGGTGTGTCAGTCAGTTTAACAAATGTCAAATGCGAACGACGGTGGGTGGCTGAATGATTTGAGGATGTATCATTGGGCTTGCTTCGTTTCGTCAGCTTTTGGTAGCAGCGGAACGCGCGGCCACGGCCCCCGCCCTAGCCCCTGCTGGCCACCCACCCGGTGGACGACGCAGCAGTGTCCCTACGGATCTCGTCCCTCGTGGTACCGAGTTTCACATGCTTCTGCAATGGCGCATGCACGGCTGTGTTGTACTACGTGCGTCGCGTTTCACGTCACTTCTGTCGGTACCGCTACAAGTTCTTGTCTTGACTCCCAAAAACTGTCGGCAAGAGAGCACCGGATCTACCATCGTCAGTGACGTACTGTTACAGCAGGTCACAGAAACCTCTTTTTCGTCTTCGCCTGCATCTACCTAGGCTCTTCTTCTTCACGTCCGTCTACGTGACAGCAAGCGAGCAAATAAAAACAAAGCATGAGACGCGTTTTACTAGCGACAAAGCACATAGACTGATGCATGACACGCATGCTTGTGCATTGCAAGGGCTTCTTCCCCACGATGCAATGCAAAAGACAGCAGCAGGCAGTCCGTCATCCATACTTAAATAGAAATAAATTATCAATGTGTTGTACAGCAAGAATGATTCGTGCATCCATAAAAACAACAACAGGAGAACAAGAAACGCGCGACGAGCGGTACGGACGTACAACGGGAAACGCAGCTCTACTTAAAACAAGACGACGAGCCCGGCGGCCACCAAGGACGACACCAGAGCGGCGGCGACGACGCCGGTGCGCGAGCTCGGCGCCGCCGACTCCTCGTCCGGAGCGAGCGCGGGGCCCGGCGCCAGCGACGGGCTCACGGACACCGAGCTGAACGGCGCGAGTGTAGGCGCCAGCTCCGGCGCCAGCGTGGGCGACGGGGTCGGTGCCTCTGTGGGCGACGGGGTGGGGGCTTCTGTCGGCGACGGGGTCGGGGCGACGCTTGGAGCCGGAGACACGGGGGCCGGTGCAGGTGCCGTGACCGGTGGCGCGGTGGGAGGCAGGACCGGGGCAGCGAGAAGTGGCGTTGGAGCAATTGCTGGAGGGAGCGTGGCCGGAGGAAGCGCCGCTGGTGGCATTGCCAGGGGCGGGGAGGCGACTGGAGCCGGAATCGTCGGGGCTGGCGCGGCGACGGCGACGGTAGGCGACGCGACGGGAGGCTGTGTTGCCGGAGGTAGCGTGGCTGGAGGGGTAGCAGGGACAGGTGTCGTCGCAGCTAGTGCCGGGGAGGCAACCGGAGGCAACGTGGCAGCGAGCTGCGGAGAGGAGGCTGTGGTTGGCGGCGCGGCAGAGGCTTGTGACGGCGAGGCGGCGGCGGCGGTAGGAGGTGCGGCGGAGGCCTGTGGCGCCGCGGCAGAAACCTGCGGCGCGGAGGCTGCTGTAGTTGGTGGCGCAGCAGAGGCCTGTGGCGCCAAGGCTGCTGTTGTCGGTGCCGCGGCAGAGGCCTGGGGCGCCGACGCGGCAACTGTTGTTGGCGGCTGTACAGAGGCTTGCGGCGCCGAGACCGCCGTTGTCGGTGGCGCTACAGAGGCCCGCGGCGCCGAGGCGCTAACCGGAGGAGCCTTGGACGCGGACGGCGACGAGGCCGGCGACTGCGCGGCGCAGGAGACGACGAGGAGCGAGAGCAGTAGCGGGAGCAGAGCCATTGCCATCCGCTCCCTCCCGAACTCGTTCTCCTTCTGGCTCCCGGCCTCTCGTCTTCTCGCTCGTTACAGAAGCTTTCCTCCCTGTTGCGGTGTTGGCCCGCCTCTGTGTTCCCGACCGACCTGAGCAGTGGAGTGCAGAACAGTGAGAGAGCTCCAGTGACGATGCGCCGCTATATATAGCGCGCTCTCCTGATGGTGCGTGTAAAACTGAACGCTGAGCTGACAGTGAAGGCCCGATCAGAAAAAAGATGAGCCATCTTTACAGGTTACAGCTCAGTGTGTGGGTCCAGTTTGTGATGATGATGTAGGACAGTGATTTCGTACGTGCACGCAGCGCGTATCGGTTCGGTACGAGGGATAGTTGTCATCCAGCCAGCCATGCATGCGTATACGTACAGATTTCGTAGACAAACCGCACCTTTCAGTACAGATGCGCCGGTCGAGATCTACGCGTAGGTGTGGTCGCATTTTTAGTTTGTAGTCAGTATCTTCTTTGTTAAATAGGACTAACAATGTACATTAATTGCTTGCTGATATACTTGAAAGAGGGAAACCGCAGGTGAAGAATTGTGTGAATGGATGAATCACTACACCTCTGAAAGTCTGAATGATGCGTGCACTTCGGGTTCTATACTGTTCAGTGAAGAGCAATCAGCACAAATCCCGTTACTCAGAGCCGAAAGCAACCATAAATGCAATCCGACCCAGTACGTGCACCGTCCTGTTCTTTTCTTACTGAGATGGTACACGCATTGCCTCCAGAGAAGGATAAAGGGTACACATATACACTACTCACTGCTGTCCTGCATAGTTTGAGCCCCAGTAACTGCAGAGCGTCGTGGGGAAAGGGCTTCCTCCTTAAAAATTTACATCCCATCTCATTCGAATGTTTGAATAAATGCATAAAATATTAAATATAGACTAAAAAATAACTAATTACATAGATTACAACTAATTTGCGAGACGAATCTTTTAAGAGTCTGTCTACCCAACAACCATGTGTTTTATGCAGTTTCGACACATAATTTTTTTTTGCACCATAGAATTAAGATCCAACAGCTTCCACCCTCCTTCTACCTCAGCCTCCAGCGTTCTTCTATCTTCAGACAATCACAAATCACAATATCGCAAATCCACAGATCACAAGAAACATTTTTTTTATGGAAGGACAAATCACAGCAGAAGAGGAGGAGGAGAAGCTACTGGAGCCGGATCCGCTACAGACTGGATGTTGCGCGGCGTAAGAGAACGCATGTGTGCGTGCGTCAGAGAACACGTCGCTTCGCTTGGACATAGCGACGGCGCGGGCGGGATCAGAGGACGTGTGCGTGCGTTGCGCGGCGTCAGCAGAACGGAGGGAAGAAGAGAGAAAAAATTCATGTGTTTTTTACGCTAAAACACATGTGTGTTGTATAGTATTTTTTATCTTTTAAACCTAATTAGTTCACGATTTGATAATAAAAGTGCTACAGTACACATGTTCTAATGATAGATTAATTAGGCTTAATAAATTTGTCTCGTAGTTTATTGACGAATTCTGTAATTTATTTTTTTATTAATATCCGAACACTCTATGCAACACCCTAAAATTTTACACCGAGGCCTAAGTCTAGTGGACACTGGTGGTAAAATTGGTAATGCCAGCAGAGTCCGGTACTAGAGGCTACAGAGATTTAATTTAACCTTGTCTAACCACTGAGCCTGGCTCCTACCGTTGTTGCACGGCGGCTAGCTTGTACCTGAAAGGGACTCGCAAACCAGATCGTGGCCCAGGAGTCTCCACGGACAGCCTGGATCGGCAGCTCCTAGCTCTTAAGGCAGCTAGCTCCTCGTTTGGTCGCGCTAGGGCTCACCTCGATTCATATCTGTGGTACAATGATTAGCTAGCCGCGCATTAGTGCTAGGTGCACCGCCGCCGCGCACCTGCGATGCGCGAGCCTCGATCGCCGTCGCCGGTGCGTGGTTGGTTTTCTTTCTCATCAGCCTTTATTTAGATTTGCCCTTTTTGATACGTGTAACCTGAGTGTGTAAAACATGGAGTGGAGATGCCGAGGGGCGTTGATCTCTTGCATGCATTGCAAGGAAAGCAAAGTCATCTTTAGTCATTTTCTCTCCTAACTACCCCGTTGTGATCATTAGCCGCCTGTGACGGCATACTGAACGTTCGATCGATTCGCGATCTCCGTGCATGAAAGGAGTGCCAAACTGCCAATTGATCGTAGTGAGACACGTCGCTGATGTCCGAACGCAACCGCACTGTGCTTGTGCACAGCCACCGACTTGTGTACATGTGGCGCGCATGGACGGAAGCAACAGTTCAGAAAAAAAAGCTGGGACTACTGGGATTGGCGACTCGCATTGTCGGTGGCATGGGGGCCGGCCTGCTCGGTCACCGCTAATCGGCCGGACAGCTCCTCATAATTGGAGTCAATAAAAACGATGTCCCTTTTTCTGGACCAGTCGAACCGGCGGGGCGGACGCGCAGTGATCGCGCAGAAGCTACCCATCGCATCGGTACCGAGAGCTAGCTGTTCGACAAGGCCGGGCCAACCGACCGCCGTGCGCCATAATCACCGTTCGCCGGGGCGGGCATTGATGCGCGCGCGGCTGTGACGGACGCGCTCGGGCCCCCTCGCAACGGCGGCGTACGTCCCGTTCCTTTAGGCTCGTTTGGTTTATATAAACAGTACTTTTTCCTATTAAATTTTTCTCTTATACTAAATCGATAACAATCTTTTCAATCGATATTTTTGGTTTTCACCATTACAACCAATACCAATAAATGGTGTTTTCCTCTCATAAAACGCCAATCAAAGACCAACCAAAAAACTCAAACGAACAAGACGAACAGGACGATAGCTAGAGAGCAGGGAAGAGGGTTTGGTCGTCGGCGTACGTATCGCCTAGCGGCTGGCTAGGACGCGTCTTCCCGTTAGGTCTCAGAAATCAGAAGTCTCCACGACGGTCAGCGTCGGGGTTCGTCGAGCTGGATTGACGCAGCGTCTTCGGACTTTCACAGCTTTCAGACAAAGCTGAGGTGCTCGATCAGTTCTGTGCTCATCCGCTGAACCCGGGCAAGTCTTGTCTGTCTCACGACGATGGGGATGTTTTTTTCTTTAACTTTTGCGAAATGCTCCAATACCTGTGTTCCTGAAACAATAGAAACAAATACTCCATATCCATTAAAAAAATGCAATTCTCACTTTTTAAGAAGTTAAATAATTTAAATTTTAACCAAAGTTATATAAAATACTACTAACCTACTCCTATATGATACAAAATAAAAATCATTAACTTATTATAAAATGTATTCTTATAGTAAATCTACTCTCTCTGGACTGTATTGTGGTGCATTCTAATGATTTTAGGATAGATTAAGAGATAACATAAAAGATGTATATGTCCTCATTTTATTTTCTAATTAATCAGACACTATCATCAACATGACTAATAGTGATTGGGTGATAAATGGCAAGCATTTAATGCAAAATTGCTTTGTGTCCCTGTAATGCCTTATATTTGGGTATATTTTTTGAGTGCTTGTATATTTAGATATATAAATGTACTATAAAGTTGATCAAAGTTAGGCCGTTTGACTTTCGCAAATCTCATAGTTGCATTCATTTGTTGATGGAGGGAGTACGCTATACTTGTACCTTGGAGACACGTATCTCAATTCTATTTAGGGCAGGTCCAATAATGATATTTTGGGCCCATTCGCTTCTGATTTCAGCACGGCCGTAGCTGTTGCGGCTGCAAATTTTATGCATGAAAATACAATCCACAGTTTGACTTGGTGTTGGTTTTTAAGGTCTTTCATTGGCCACTAAATTCTCCTATCATTTGTGACAAAAGTTTTGACCATTAGAAATTATTCCTAAATATAAATCCAATTTTAATATTTTTTGCACAAACTTTTCATATGATTAGACTAATGATCAATTAAAGACAATGAATTTCAAATCTCAAAAATATATGTGCATCTTACATTTTAGGAAGGGAGAAATGATTTTTTAAAATTATTTGGGATACTGCACATCTTAAATGCAAGGGCTCATTTTAAATTTTGCACCAGGGTCTTAAAATATTTGGATACGGCCATGAATTCAGGTGTTTGCTCGCTAAACACGAGTCTGACTGTCTGAGAATAGGAATACCGTGAAAAAGAAAACATTTCCACATAGATGAGCTTGCGCGCATAGCGGCCCACGGCCCACGTGTCAGTCGCGTTCTTCAGGTACTATCCCCAACCTCGCCGATTCCAGTCTCCACACTCGCCGACCGGGCGGGACGACCGAGCAAGCAGAGCATGCCACCGTCGTGCCTGGGCGCATGCAGCGGTAGCGGACTAGCCCTCTCCGCCCCCCGCCGCCGCGCCCCCTCCTACTGCAGCGTCGCGCCCCATAGGGCTTCCGTCTCGTGCTCCGCCGCCGGCGGCAAGGCGTCGCCGCGGGGGAAGGACAACGTCTGGAGCGTCGATAACGACCGCGCCGCCAAGGAGGCGGTCCGGGGCCCGAAGCACCGCCGCAGGAGACGTCCCAGTGGTCGCCGCCTGCCGCCGCCGAAGAGGAAGGGAAAGGATGCGGGGTCGAGGGTTCTAGTGTCTGGAGCCATGCTTGTGGAGGTCGAGACTGTGCTCCAAACTCAGGTATTCAGGCTGCATCTATCGACCTGTCCAGGATATGTTACATGATTACAGAATTAAAGTTAAGGTGGATACGTGTGTTTCCAGCAGTAGTGTACTAATACCATTTTGGCGGATACGTGTCCTATTCATCCTGTGAAATCCAATCAGTTGCTTTAGTTATCCACATCAACTAACAGTTTAAAGTTAGTTTATTAGACTCTATACAGTGGCTGCGGCAAAGATACAAGAATTAATGGTTGGGTAGTTGGTTGGTTAAGGCATTCTAATTAGACTCTATAGCGATGAATGGTTGGGATTAATCTGGGGAGAACAGCATTCTCCCACCAGACTGTATGCTTAATAATTTAATGTTTATTAT